TCGTGTCAAGGATGAAAGTTGTTCGCCGAAAGGTGTCGTCGAGACAGCGTTGGTATCTTTCCATTCAATCTGTTTGTTACTTTCATCTTCACCACTGACTTCCCCTTTCACCAGCAATAGTCCCCAGTCATCGGCACCACTCTCCCGAGCACCAGCAACAGCTGTCCGGCTGTATTTTCCAACAAGCATGTAAATACCATCTCCCTTCACAACTGTTGTTGGTCGGCTCACATGTACGTTCTTCACTTCTTGAGAGCCATCATGAAAAGCGTTTTGGGAGGGACATTTTGTTTTATCGGAAGAGCATTCCTCCAGTACTTGTGTTTTCAATTTCTTTTTATCCAACTCCTCTGGGTTTTCATTATTCGACGTCAGTAGCTCCGAGGCAATCCCAGTAAAATGGCATCCACTGTTTTCACTCTTCGTGCACAGCGCCTCGGCAACGGCAAACACACCACCATTCATCTCAACAAGACTGGGAGCATAGAGCGAATCCACTGTTTCTTCAGGTGTCGTATTTCTCCAAACAAACAATCTCCCTGATGAACATCCCGGACACGACTGTGGCAACTCCTCAGCGGCTGCATCCCCACCAGTGCCGCAGCACATCCACATCACGACGACGAGGAGCAGCACCGAGGAATTAAACACACGCCGCGACATGTTGGGCCTCTGCAGCTTACTCTCTCTTCCTTCCCTCCTCCTCCCGCTGGATCCGGTCACGCGGCGACGGTTGTGTGTGCGGGGTGCCTTCACAGCAGCAACACGTGAGTGCATATAAATATGTGTGTGTGGGCGGTGTGTGTGCTGTTGTCGGTCCTTTCAGTGCCTTCGAATTTCACAGTGGCGAGTAGCGTTTAGTCGCAACTTCCTTCCTAGCGTGTGTGTGCGTGGGGCTGAGAGAAAAGAGAAAACAAGCAAAGCAAAGAGGTAAGACAGCGAGCACCGCCACCCATCCACTGTGAGTGGCATCACCATCCCCGCCGCAGTCACTCCCAACAAAAACAACTCACGCACACAGACACAAGGAACGAGAAGGAAGAACAGTGCACCGAGAACACACAGCGACGGCCACCACCAGCAGTAGAAGCCACGGCGGGTGCTTCTGCCACGCGTCAGCACACACCGAGCGACGCCCACACATAAAACAACCAACGGGATGAAAAAGTGCACGACCGCCCTCCGCAGCACCCACGCGCTACCGCCGCCAGTTATTTCACCGCTTTCCCCTCCAACGCACCCGCACAGCCGGAGTATCCCTCGCCGACGTATCCACAGCGGAAGAGAAACGTCGGCACATGCAGTTGCTGGATGGAAATCCATCCGCAGTTGTACCAGGCATCCTTAATCCCACACAAAGTAAAACGCCTGCAAGTTGCTAACATTACGCCCGCATCAACGCAAAGAAAAGAGGCGTTGCAGGCTCCCTCATCCCAAGGGCCGCCGCAGCCAGAATCGTGTGCGTGCGTCCTCAGCGTTCACCCCGCTCCATAGCGTGTGCGCATGTGCGTGTGTGTTCGTCAGCGCCTATACTTACAGAGCAGCTGTGTGCCACAAGAGAGTCTGAAGAAAGCAACGGCAAAAAGAAGCGGATGGCACACACACAAATTACTCATATCATCGCACACACGCAGCCGCGGAATGGGTGCACTCAACCACAACACAATCAGAGTACACCAAAAACACACACAAATACAAATTACGGAAGCCGAAGCGTGGGAGCGTCCACCCAACAGTGGGGACGCGCAGCAACAGGTAGGACGACCAGCACACACACACTCTCATTGCTCCCGTAAAGCAAAATACACACACAGAGGGAGAGAGAGAGAGGTCGCCCACTCAATGCAATAAAAACAAAACAGTTACGGTGCTCCGCCCATGTCGTCAGGCAGGACGGCAGCGGTGCGTGTCGTGCAAAAGAGAGCACCAACGGGCCTGCATGGGTGTACATGCATACATACAATGGGCACATTATGTGTGTGCCTCGTGGGGTGAGGTGAGGGCGAGAGTCCATGCAAGGGGACACACACACAGAGAGAGAGAAGGAAGAGTGTGTGTGCGGGCGGTGCACGGCTCTCTCTCCCTCACTCTCACGCGGCCACCACCGCAGCAGCAGCCGCACACGCAACAACAAGAAGAAGCAAAAGAGGGGAGGCGGTGTGGGAGACCGCGGTGCTGCCGTCACTGTCGCCAGTCGTCGCCGTTGTATTTTTCATGGCTGTGGCTTCGACTGGTGTTTCTTTCGGATTGGCATCTTTATTTTCATTTTGTTTTCCCTCTGCTGTCCCTGCAACATCAGCTGCTGGGTCATCGTCTCCATTTGTTTGCGTGCTTTTGAGATTTTTTTGGTTCGCTGCTTCCTCCGCACCAGAAGATAAACTTGGCTGCTCTTCACCGCCTGCTGGCATCCCATTTGTGGCGTCGGCATCATCTTCTTTGATTTTCTCCTCTTCCCTCTCCTTATCTTGTTTCTCTTCTTTCGTCTCACTCTCTTCCTTCTTCGCATCATCTTCACCTTCATCTATTTCCTCCTCTTCATATTCCTCTTCCCCTTCTTCATTATCCTCCTCGCCATCTTCTCCCTTTTCTTGCATTTCTGATGCTTGTTTCTCCTGTTGTTGTGCCGCTGATGTGTCTGCTCCCGCTGCCACTACCCTTAAATCTGTCACCGATTCTGCCGGTAATTGTGACTTTGCCGGCGCACTGGATTTGACAACTTCTCCAGCGCCAACGACGGTCGAATTGTCATTTTTAGTGTTATTACCGGGCGGAGTATCCCAAGGAGCTCGAGGGATTTCAGAACATCCACCACCGCCGGCACCCGCACACAGCACGCAGAGGGCACACACCAGCAGCACACGGCCAGTCATCATCGCCATCACTCCTGTCACTTGCGTGCAGCCTTCAGCACAAACTAACAACACTTCAACAGAGAGTGAAAGCAAAAGGCAAGACAGACACGTCACAAAATAACACGCACAGTAAACAACGGCAGCAGCCCTGCAGAGGAACGCACACTGACCTGCACACCAGAAGTAAAAAAGCGATACCAAAACAAAAAGAGTAGTTGAGTGCCCAACAGGAGTCTCCTCCTCAAAAAAAAAATACACTTCAGCAGAATCATCATTTCATACGCCATGCAGCAATGCAGGACTGTGTTTATATGTACATGCGTACAGTACCTGCACAAGGAAAAAATTATTACTGTTCCACAAGCCCACACAACATCCCACACACGTCATGCGGCATCCGGCCTGTCTCTCTACTCCTCCTTTCGTGTCGTCCGTGGAGCGCACAGCCGTGGGGCCTGTACCGCGTGTGGGCAACAAAAAAGCAAACAAGAGGGAAAGCAATTCGCTCATGACGGTGCGCAGCAACCGACCATTAAGTAAAACAAAAGAAAAAGGTACTCCCATTGCTCCATGTAAACAACATTAAAAAGAACACCAAAAAAAGAAAGCCCGCAGGGAACGCGGCACATATTTTCTGTGAGAAGTCGCAACTCCTCACTCCGTGGTTCAGAACACTACCACAACCACACACAGTCCCAAAAGCAGAAGCAGCAGTGGTGTGTCCACACACGAGGTTATACGTTCGCCGCCGCTCACCGTCGGCAAGGACAAGTCACCTTCAAACTAGACGTCTCTACTCTCTTGATTTTTTTGTTTAAAGAATATATGACCTGTGTGGCTCTGCTGCACGCACCGCTGTTTGTGGGCTCCTTAGCGGCGGGGGAGTGTGCTCAAGGACCATGGATACAGTCCCATCGCCCGTACACATCGGTGGTATTGGACGTCATGAGGTCATTATATTTTTTTCCTACTCTTACCAGCGCGTCTAGCTATACAATGCCATCTGGGTGCCGAAGAGGTGGTCGAGCAACGACAAAAGTTTCCTGCTATGAAGCAGCTGCCATTGACAGAACTTTCCGAGACGAAGGTCCCGCTCAATGCCCAGCCGTTGACGCACAGCCAAGGTGCCTGGACATTCTAGAAGCAGATGGTGCAAGGTTTCCTGCGGGCCAATTGGCGTGCTTGTGGAAGCTGGCTGATCCTGCGGCAGCAGAGATCGCCTCCTGGCACTGCTGTTTCGATGTCGTGTGGCGTCTGGGTTGTGTGCGCAGCGACTTCTGTGCGGTGCGGTGCTTCTCCGTGTGGGGAAAACCATGTCACAGAAATCACATTTGAGCTCGGGAAGCGGTGGAGGATGCTCCGGACGAAATGACCGACAGTGACTGACGAGACCCGAGAATCCCGTCAATGTAGAATCACAGTGCGGACATTTCTCCTTCCGACGGCGTGTGA